TGAAGGTTAAAGACTTGAGACTTGCCACATGTGGTATTACTCCCACCTCTGGTAGAGTATATGAACTGTACTTCCTCCTCTCCTGATAATGAGTCACTCACATGAGCTGCAGCTTTTCCTCCGTCTGTTAGCCGCCTGACGCTAGCAGCTCAGGATCCTCTAATGAGACTCTGCGTTAGCGGCGGTGTAAATGGCAGCGTCGGGCAAGGTGTCGCCCCCGTGTAAGGTGCTGATGTCTGAAGTTAGTTGTAAATGTCAGGCTGGTCATCTCACACACACATATAGGTGATATCGGACGCTTGTACGAGGCCGGACACGTAGCAGCGTGTTCGCGTTATAATGTGAACATTTGCTCCATCTGAAGGTCAAACTGAGTCTGACGTCTTTCTCTTTGTTTGGGATCTTTTAGTTGATGACGTTTGAGTTTCCGGAGGCTGCAGTTAATGGATGCATTGGTGTCTTTACAATCTGCCTCCCATTCATCCACTCAGACACGCACTCACACTGACGGCACGCCAGCTAGCAGCCGGGAAGACGCCAGATATCACGCAATGTGCTGGTCTGACCCCTGGGAGGTCGACACACAGCCGCTACTCACAATGTTGATCCTCAGGGCTTTCAAAATGTCCTGTGATCTGTTAATAGTGTTGTTTGTTAAGGTTTAGACACAAAAACAACTTGTTAAAGAACATTTAAGACAGTGGTTTCCAATATTTGATAGATATTTCATATTATATTCAGTAAATAACAGCTGATAAACTGTAAACAGTGAACACAATAACTGCAGGAAGTTTATGTAAAACGATTTAAATTCGATTTTTTTTTAGAGCAGATTATTTCCTGTGATTATTGATCTGAGATTAGTTTATCTGATATTTTAGGAACTTTTTATACAGTTCTCTTTTTGTTTTATGTACTATTTGTTTTTTTAACAATCAGAAATACGTAATAGGATTCTTTTTGGCCTGATGTTTGTTATATAAGTTCTTTGGTTGTTTTAACTGCATCCTTTTTAATGAGATATCGGCCTACTGTGTGTGTTTTATATACGTTTTCTTACACGTCTTATAATCAAGAAGGCCTCACAAAAAGTAACTTAAAGTAATGATATTACTCAGATCAAACAGGAAACGGCCACGGTCGGAGTTTTGTCCTTTCTGTCGTAACATTACTTCACAAAACACTTCATAAAGTGTTTAATATGTATGAATAAATCTGCTGTTTGGATCTTTTCTCAGTGTATTCGGATTGGAGGCTGGAACAAGTAGTCCGAACCAGTTGTGACGTCCCCAAATACCACTTATAGTTACCTTAAAGGGAGATTTGTGTGATGCATCCATGCACGCACTTTAACAACATCAAGCTACTTCCACTTCCACCTGTGCTTCAGATGAAGAGCCACTCGAGGTCTTCATCGAGTTAATGCAAACATACGTTTTTGGTTTAGGAACATGAACAAATGCAAATCAGAAACATCAAAACATCCTTTCTAGTGTTTCCAGACAACGAGTTCAGTGCAGCCGATGGAGAAACTTGTTGTGTGTAAACTGTGTCGGTCAGGGAGAAGAGAAATGTATTTATATGGAAATGATTTGGGTTATTCCTTTAAAAAAGGTTCCATGTGCAACAATGAACAAGGGAAATGTAAATGTGTCTTGTATTGTGAACAGAAGATACATTCATATGCAAAAAACCTCAGAAGAATACATCCAACGCTACACAAAGTTCAGGATAAAAGCAGCAAGTAAGGAAAGGAACAGAAAAAAGTAAAAACCTGCAGCACTCTGAAAATGTCAAACAAAATGGGGTCTCTTCAAAATGCCAACTGAAGCGGGGGGAGCGGCGCCGGAGCGAACGCCATGTTTTAAACATGCACCAAATCCCCTCTGTTTTTTATTTTATTTATTTATATAT